TCCAAGAATCTACTATGCAGTTGGAGCGCCTGCTGGATCTGCAGATGCGACGGCGTCGCCCCCCGTCGAGTCTCCTGGGGAATTCGCGAGGGGAAGTTGCCGATAGTCGGTGCAGACTGGTGCGTGTCGAAGACAAGCGTGAATTAGCAATAAGATGCGGTCGATGCCGGCGGGGGGACATGTGTAATTTCGCCGCATGGCATGCCGTCATCGGAGATTGAGAGCTACCTTAACTCAAGACGATGGGGCTCCCACACGTGGGGTTGAGTTGCCGTTGGACGATTGCATTTCTAAGCTGCCCGCGGCGCGGTGTCTCCGGAGAAAACAAGAGTTTGTCTGGCTTGCGAGACTTTGCGCCGAATGTTGATAACCAATGAGACACTTGAGGATCAGCGTGACAGGTTCTGCTTGAAGATGTTGTGAGACACTCTGGGAACGGCAAACAGCGATGACTGGAAGAATGGGAATAGCTCCTGCGCTTGTTGGAAGGCCTGGAGCTCAACCATTGAAGCCCGGGAATGCAAAGACCTCCGATAGCTAGAGCTCAGTGCAAGGACCGGTTGAAGTGTATTTTTGGTGAGGTTTGGTGTGTCTTGGCTTGGTGTTGTTATTTTGTCCATCATCTCGATGGGCTAAGTCAGTTTCAGCGACAACGACAGCGACAGCGATGCGAACCGTCCCCAGCCTCCGCCTCTTTTCCCTTCCACTTCACCATCTCAGCCGGCGAGTCTTTGGCGCCGAAGTGTCTCCTACCCATGGATACTCGCAATCCCACACGGGGAAGTACGAGCCCCTGGCCGAAGCCCGGTATCTTGAGAAAAGAACCTCCAGCGCAACCCGGGCGCGAAGGAAGTCCAAAAACAGAAAGAAACAGTTGCAACGTGCAACAGGTCTGTCCAGGTGCAGTTACAGGAGCGAAATGCCCCACTACGAGGTGAGCGTTCGCACCGAGATGCTTTAGCGAACCGCTAGATGCCTTATCGATAAGAAGGGTGGCACCGGGGGACGGGGATCCGCTAGAGGCTCTGCTCTGCGCTACGATTCGATGCAGGGTCGTGCCTGGACATGGTACGGCGCCGGGAAGCTGGATCGTCAAAGCAGTCAAATTTTCTGATGCCTCACTCCCGTCTCCCGTGCCCGGCGCCGCCCACTACACTATCCACTGTTCGGACCGTTTGCAGAAGCTCTTGGCTTTCAGATGCATTGTCCATTCATGAGAGACGCCAAATGATCCGATAGGGCCTCAATCTTTTGTTGTTTCTTTGTTTGGTCCCGATTTGGCCCCCGTCGTTTCAGGAACCCGGCTGACGACGACGTTGATCTTCACGTCCCTGATTACATCCGCTCTTGGCCCAGCTAAATGGAAGGCAGTCGCTGCGGCTGAGACCGAGACTGAGACTCTGACACCGAGAGATATCAGACCCGCTCACCGTTGATTCCAAGAATAACTGCATCGCAGATATCTCGGCGGAATCTCTGAACAACTCTCAAACCAACCTCCTGAGCCATCCAAGCAAATTGGAGCTTTGGTCTGGAGACTGCGATAGAGACCGAAAGAGGGACTTCGAGGTCTAGCTTGCTCCAAGATTTCTGCCTGTCTTTGTGTGTCAGACGCTCAAGGCAGCTTTCAGAGAAACCAGAAAGACAAAGAGGACAGAGGAGGGTGAGGAAACAGAAACGGGCGGGAGCAGGATTGCTCATCGAGGGTGCAAGTGCCTTCCATTGCTGGCGTACACTGTGGACAAGTCCAGTCCTGCCCTCCACGATAGTGGTGCTTGCCTCACTGGTGCCTCTCGCTGGCTTTCACCCCGTGACTGCCTGGGTGACTTCCATTTCTAGAAGGCTACACAAGACGTTTCTACGCCACCTTCCTGCTGTATCTCCAGCCAACTGCACCTGCCCTCGGCATCTCCTGAGCCAACGGAGAAGTCTTCAGCACTCGGGGAAGAGGCCATATTGTGACATTCCCAGTAGCAAGAAGCTGTTCCCAGTTTATTCAGGGTAGGAGTCACTTGTCGTGCTGCTGCTACCTACGGAACGACGCGCAGGAACCGGTCCACGTCCTCTGGGGCCCTTTCTTGTCGTTCGTCGTCTACTTCTCCGATCACTCGACCAGAAATCACAACATCTCCCGACTCCAGGGAACCCCGGCTTCGACTCTTTTTTGGCGATTTGTTCCATCACCATAACTCAATTCAGGCTTCAAACCTTGTCACCAGCTTTCTCAAGACAAGCGTTTTGCCAGTTCGCAGACAGAAAACCAATATATTCGTCCTTCTACGAAACCGACGTTTCCTGCCCGGTTTGGTGGTGTTCTGATTCGTTGCGTCAATCATCGTTGACCATCGCAGTCGGTCGCTCAGTTTACCTGCCAGGCCTTGCCTCGTGTCAATGTGAGTCAGAGCATCAGCCGTCACGGTTCACGCCTTGAGTCCCCCAGTCTATTAACACACCCAAGATTCACCTCTTCCACTCATTCCAGCTACGAGCTCAACATTGTACGAAAAAGAACACCGTCACAATGCTCGCAGTCGAACGCTCTACGCTTCCAGAGGCTGTCTCTGATAACACAGAGCTGCGGTCCGAGGAGAAGCCTGAACACACTGGACCCGATGTTATCCAGCCGCATCCCCTCGTTGACGAGCTTCTGCCGCAGCAACTCGGCCGTGGCGTTCTCATCCCCTTGAAGACAACTCTGGAAATCCGACAAGACCACACCATCGTCCAGGCTTTGCTTACCAGAGCCCCAGCCAAGTCTACCAATGATGTCGTCAAGTAAGTTGAAGCTACCTGCAATGATATGGAGAGGCGATATTAACACCACTGTAGTCTTCTCCGCTCGATGCTTCCTGAGGGTGTAGCTAACAGCTTGCCTCACCTGCGTCGATGCGCGAAGCCAGCCGATATCCCGGCTCACCTCAAGACGCAGTTTATGAACGACTCCCCGGAGGGTCGTCAAGTTCACACTGGGAAGTCGACCTGGATCTACATCATGCTCGGCGAGGAGAAGGACTTCGACAGACAGAAGTTGGTAGCATCCTTGACCGCCATTGACGGCATGGAGGAGAACTTCTTCCTCACCAGCATCCCCATTCCCCTCGTCCCGCCCACTTCGCAGGTGCAAGCGGCCATGTGGACTTCGCAGTTCTGGCCCACAGTGTACCGGAAGAACAACCCCCTTGGACCCCATCCTAGCATGGTGGGACGTTCTACCGACACCATCAGAGATGAGACATCTCTGTGGATGTCTCTCGCTCATCGTGCTGCCATCAAAGCGAAGCAGACGGGTATCGGCGAGCCCATGGGAGCCGTCATTGTCCAGCGCGAGGGCGGTAAGTCCGAGCTTGTGGCGATTGCGGGAGATGCTCGTTGGCACCAGGAACCCAACAGACGCGGTACCGGCAATCCCATGGGACACTGCGTTCTCAGAGCCATCAGCATGGTTGCGCAGAAGCTTGTTCGTCACGAGAGACGTGTGTCTGGTCGGCCCAACAACTCTCCCTTCCTCGAGTACGACGCTTTCCAAGACAAGCCTCTTCTTGACGACGAGAAGATCGTCTTCGAAGACGAGCACCCCAACGCAGACGGCTACCTGTGCCACGGCATGGAGATGTACCTGACCCATGAGCCTTGCGTCCAGTGCTCTATGGCTATCCTTCATTCGCGCATGGGCAAAGTCGTTTTCGCACAGCGCATGCCGCTTACCGGGGGCATGTGCTCTGAGGACCGTGGCCACGGTCACCCTGAGCTGGAGAGCTGCGGTGGTGGCGAGGGCCTCGGTCTCTTTTGGAGACGTGAGCTGAACTGGAGCTTGCTGGCGTGGGAGTGGGAGTCGAGCGACTGTGTGGGACCTTTGCCGCCGGTTGATCACAGAGTCCATGCTTAGTCCCCATGGGACTTGACGACAATACCTTGGTGCTTATGGCTGGGAAACCGGCCTAGGCTTAAGCAGTCTTTATGTGGAAGGAGGCCATCAGAGAGGATGGACTCGGCGATCTCGACACGCCATTATCAATATCACCTGTGCGCAGACCTCTGCGTCGGCTCTTTAACAGCCTCTGTGTATCATATTTTCCCTGGTGTAGTTGGTTGAGACATGGGTTTGGAGGGCCAACAGAGAGGATTTAGATAGTCCTCTCAGCTCCAGTCGGAAATGCGGCGTTGGGAGGAAACCTCAGGAGCAGGTCGATGGAGGCGCGGGCAGGAATTATACCCAGGGCTGTCTCATGTGTATTATGCAGCAGCCTAACAATGAACAATGTTCCCTATTCCTCCTATTCTTGTTCGAACAAGGTCTACAAAGAGTGAAGTTGCGATGAATTCAATTCAGCCGGCCGCCATTGTTCGGCCGAAACGGACCGCCGCCATTGACGAACAGACAAGCCGCGCTAAGGCATGTTACCTTACCTTCCTCACCTTAAGCTCTGCTGCTGTGCTGTGCCGCGATTTTACTGCGGGGAAAGGCGGATTCTTATCTTATCAGCCGGTACGATCCCAGTGATAGACACGCGGTGAAGCGCTGTGTGACTCTCTTTTCGCAACGCCAGTCGCTGTGGTCCTTCCTCACAGGCCTTTGCCGCCTTCCTCATTCTTTCCCGTTGCGCTCAGTATTCTCGGCATGCGCGCGGACGAAGGGAGTTGCAGAGAAACGATTTCTGATTTCGCAGCGCTCGAGTGTGTCATTCCGCGACAAACGCGCATGCAATGACCCGCCTTTGACTCCTCCACTCCCACGCGACTCGCACATGGGTAGCTCTCGTACCAACTGAATGCGATTCCAAGCCTCCCCGGCAAAGACCGTTGACCGACTCCTCCTCTGCGGACGAGTTCTCAAAATACTCGTGCCGCCTGCGACGCAACCAAAGCGGGTTATTAGAAGAGACTTGAGCTCAGGGAGCTGGTGGAAAAGAAGGGCCGAAACGGACGGGCAACCGGAGAAACTTTTCACGATCCTGCGAAACCTACTCGACGACATGCCAGCCAAGAGGACTGCATCTGCAATGGCCGATGCGACGAAATCCAAAAAGCGCAAGGATGAGAAGAAGTGGTACGCTGTCAAGGTTGGTCTCCGACCGGGCGTATACGAGACGTGGGATGAGTGCTCAGAGAATACCAATCACCAACGAGGAGCCGTATGTGAGTGAACCGTCCGTCGGTCTGCAATCTAGCTGCTTGGGACTATTGGCTAACAACAGCTTATGATACAGACAAGTCCTTCACCTCCAAGGAAGATGCGGAGGCGTTCGTGGCGGGAAAGAAGATTCCGAACAGAGGCGGCAAGGTGGAACCCATCAAGTACTACGCTGTTGCGCGCGGTAACTTCACTGGCATCTTTCACGACTGGGACAAAGCCAGCAAGGCGATCTACCAGTCCACGAAGCCCAAGTACAAAAAATTCGATACCCTCGGAGAGGCAGTCCGATTCATAAAGGAGTGGGGTGACGAAGACACAATCGAAAAGGTTCAGGCCCTGGTCGATGGTGATTCTGAGTTCGAATCCGAGGTCGAGGAACATGATGACCTTGAGCCGGGTCTGGCTCATATCTACACGGATGGCAGCTGTCTCGGAAATGGCACGGACAACGCGACTGGAGGCGTGGGCGTGTTCTTTGGAGAAAACGATCCCAGGTAAGTCGCTATGGACTCGACTTTCCAGAAGCCCGTCCCAAACAGAAGACTGGCACGCTCCAAATCGACGCCACAAATCACAGAACCGCTGACCTGTATCTAGAAACGTTTCTGAACGTCTTGAGGGCAAGAAGCAAACAAACCAGCGCGCCGAACTTACTGGCGTCCTACGTGCGTTGGAGAAGACTCCCGCCACACAGGGAGCGCAGATTCTCACAGACAGCAGATACTCCATCAACTGCGTGCAGAAATGGGCTCCGATTTGGCAAGGAAAGGGCTGGAAGACGTCAGTCCTAAATAACGACGTCACGAACAAGGACTTAGTCCAGGCCATTATGAATAAAATTGCCGAACGCGAAGCTAAAGGCACAAGGACCGTGTTCACCTGGGTCAAGGGACATTCGGTAACCGACGGAAATGTACAAGCGGATAAGCTCGCAAGGGGCGTTGCGGAAGAAGCAGTAAAGGCGCTTGCTGTGGCAGGTGCTTACCACCCACCGTCGACGCGCGTACAGAAGTACGCAAAGCAGCAAGCAGATACAGAAGCGCCGGAAGCTAAGCTGACGAAAACACGGAAGAAGTTGAAGACGGAGAGACAACAAACTCCCGAACTGGACCTCAAGTTTGATAAGGAAGAAACTCCCGATCTCGACGACTACTCGAGCATGCCTTAGGTTGCAACAGGACCAACTTGAGGGGTTGTAGTCATGAATATGCGCTGGCAATGGACAGAGTCGGTGACCGACATGATGCAAAAGGGTTGCTCTGCCTGGGTCGATGCATGGATGCAAGCACCCCTTCCCAAACCATCGTATCTTCCGCTCTTGGCAGATACGAGTTTTGGTGTCTAGATCCCTCGTTGAAAGGTTTAGCGGCCTGCCTTCACGCAGTCTCAAGGCTCGCCCAAACCTCTGCTTTGAGCGGTTAAACGGCTTCGGGTTTCTACTGAAGGGAGGAGCTGTATACTGCACACGATAAGGAGACAGCAGGAGGATGTTTGACTTGTTTCTATCATAGCGGCAAAGGGTTTGCGGGAAGTTTCTTCTAGTTCATCGATGATGGAAACGGAGTATCTGGTGCTTTCGTTTTGGCGGAATGATAGTTTTTTCTTTGCAATGGAGATATCCCCTCAGTAACCAACGAAACCTCTCGATGCTATGCGCGGTTCTGTTCCTGACAACTGAAGTGCTGCGGCCATTGTCTATGCAGTATGTTCAACTGTTTAAGGCACAGTCCTTGAAATAACAGACATATCAACCTTACAACTCTAGTGTAGGTTGTAGTATGTAGCGGTCTGTCTGAACATGTCTCACGATTCAGACTAGTGGCGCTGCAGGTTCAGATTTTCACGGACATCGCAAACCGAATGTCGCCCGCATCTTTCCCGAGTATCCAGCCGCAGTCTCCAGGTTTCTCATACGCCCAGGCTTGCTCGCCGAAGACTGATACGGCCAGCGTTATGCATTGTCAAGTTAGGCAGAGATACATTAAATGCGCCAGAAGACAATAGCCAGTAGCCGCAACTGAATGTACCTCTGCCATCAACCGATACCGTCTAGCTTCCTTCGGATGACTACAACATAATTAGACAACCTTGCGCAAATCCCTGACGGTACGGCTTTGCTGCCCCACGTGTCAAGCCTGTCGACCCCGAAGAGCGAGAGCTTTGCGCGCGGGCAGGATCGGTTTAGAGGTAAACAAGAGGACCCCTACTATTTCCCCCCAATTAAGCGGTGATGATGCACTGATCGCACACACGCACCAAAAACAAAAAAAGAAGCTGCGGCGTTCGTCCCGTCTACCTACCCAGTCGTTCCCAGTCGCCACGCCACTGCCTCCTTTCTTCCTCTTCTTTTCCCTCCCCGCCACCGTCGCAGACCTGCCCAGACCTCTTGACACCTCTTACCCCGCCAATTCAGGCTCACTGCATCAATATTCCGCATCTACTGTCCAGATAAGGACCATTGCGTAGTCTCCAGAGATCGCTGCGACCCAATCAAAAGGCCGACGTCATCAGCGAGGCCCGCCCCTTTCGCAGACCGCTTCGACTGTCTCAGTCCCCTTGAGGATCCTCACACGGCGAAGAGGTCGGCGACAGCAACGAGCAGGACGCAAGGGAGAGGGAAAGAAGGACGGAACGCACCCCAATGACAGTCAGCCACGCAAGCGCCGCATTCCTCGTCGTCATTCTGAACCACGCGATTCGATAACAACCTACTACCCTTGAACAGGGCAAGGAGACAAAACACACACCATTTTGTTTGCATATTCGAGATTGACTGGTGCAGGGCCCGGTCTCTGTTTGCTTGGCTACGTGGTAGTGCCCGATCGCGACTCTCATTGGAGCATCTCGCAGAAGATCGCGGGGTCATCTTGGGCTGCCATACGTAAATTGTGGACAAAGGGACCCTTGGCAAAAGCTTGGTTGGCTAGTCTTGCGACCGAACCACAGACGCGATGCCTACTTTGGCGGTTACCAACTTCAACATCATTGTCGGTGTGCTGGGAGGATGGATATCGCTGTTTGGACTTGTGTCGTACCTCTGCAAGGAGAACTACTACCTGTCTGAAGCTCGTAAGTTTTGTCATTCGACTGCACATCCCCCCCACGATGTTCAAGGTAGCTGACGAGACTCGGCAGTGATTTCCCTCTTGGCAGGCGTAGCCTTCTCGCCCCCAGCCGCCAATCTCATCAGACCGCTGGAATACGCCGGCACCGAGGAAAATGTCGATAGCGTCACCCTCGCCTTCTCCCGCCTCGTCCTCGGCGTGCAGCTTGTCCTCGCCGGCGTGCAGCTGCCCAGCCGCTATCTCCGCACCCAATGGAAGCCCATGGCCCTCCTCGTCGGGCCCGTCATGACCTGCATGTGGCTCGCGACGAGCCTGCTTGTCTGGGCCTTGGTGCCGCACCTGCCGTTCCTGCACGCGCTCGCCGTCGGCGCCTGCGTTACGCCCACAGACCCTGTGCTGTCTAACGTTATTGTCAAAGGGCGATTTGCGGATCACAACATCCCCAAGGAGCTACAAAACTTGATCATTGCTGAAAGTGGAGCAAACGACGGATTGGGATATCCATTCTTGTTCTTCGCGCTGTATTTGATCAAGTACATTGGCGACGGCGGCAAGCAGCAGTCTGGAGGAGCTGGCCTCGCGATGGGCTTGTGGTTTGGAGAGACGTGGGGGTACACCATTATTCTGAGCGTCATCTACGGTGCCGCTGTGGGTTGGCTAGCGAGAGTCTTACTCAGGTGGGCGGAGAGTCACAAGTACGTTGACCGCGAGAGCTTCCTGGTATTCGCGATCTCGCTGGCGCTCTTCATCGTGGGCACGTGTGGAATGATTGGTAGCGATGATGTGCTGGCATGCTTCATTGCTGGCAACGCCTTCACCTGGGACGATTGGTTCCGTCTCGCCACCGTCGATGATTCACTACAGCCCACCCTGGACATGCTTTTGAATGTCTCCGTCTTCTTATGGTACGGAGCCGTCATCCCGTGGACCTCGTTCCTTCACAACGAAGTTATCCCGATCTACCGGCTCATCCCGCTAGGCATCCTCGTCCTGATGCTCAGACGGCTTCCATTCGTTTTTGCAATCCACAAGATCATCCCGCAGATCGAGGAGGTAAAGCAGGCCATCTTTGTTGGCTTCTTTGGCCCCATCGGAGTATCTGCCGTGTTTTACCTTTATGTTACCCTCGAGTTCTTGCACACCCTCAATGAGGGCGAAGAGCCCCGATCTGACGTCAAGAACATGGGCGAGGTTGTCCGAGTCGTTGTCTGGTTTCTCGCAGTCTGCAGTATAGTAAGTGACCCGCTACCACGTCCACGCTGAGAAGAGCCGGTATAATATAAACATAGGTGGTCCACGGGCTGAGCATCCCGCTCGGCAAGCTCGGCTACTACGCGCCCCGGACGCTGTCCCGAGGTGTCTCATTCATGAGTAGTGACGGCGATGAGCCGCGTTCGTTCCGCATCCGCGGCAGAGCTGCATTCCCGTTCAGCCGGTCCAGGTCCATGGCATCCAATGGAGTCGCGGATGCCGAGTCCGGCACCCCGTCCGACAACGAGGGTGGCCGGACAGTCTACAGGATTGGAGGTTCCATCATCCCCCGAAGGATGGCCGATGGTGCTACTTCAGGCACGTCCACGCCGAAGCGTGCCGATGACCCGCCCCGTCCAGGTTCCGAGTCCGGAGATGTCCGGACTGAGGGGGTGGCCAACCAGCCACCGCCCCTTGAGCTTCCCAATCGCACCATCCGGTTCCCTGACGAGGCGCCTGCGGCCCAGGAACCTCCCCGGGAGCTGCAGAGTCTGTGATACGAACTAGCAATATTGCAGCAGCATGCAGCAGTTCTGTGAAGAAGACTCCTGCACTCAATTGTTTTGCGTAAGTTGAATATGCGGACGCCGTTTAATGACGGTCGTGTGGATTGGCTGGATAGCCAGCCAGCCATGCACGGAGATGTCCGTGTTTATAAGGAACACCCGGGCAGAGGCTTGGAGGCTTTCCCGCTTCCTGCTTCCTGCTGTCAATAAGGTCTCATATGGCGTTCAGAGCTGGATCTATTCCTGTTTTCTGAACCCAGAGAGTCTAGAACTCAATCAAAATTGTGTGCGCGTATGCCTTTAGATACTTGCTTTTTAGTAATTAGACATCACTTTCCTCTGATCTGTCGTCGGTATTGACTCGGGCCGCCCTTTTCTGCAGTGTGCTACTATTGGACTGCCACCTACTTGCGAGACGTCCGGGGTCGGATTGCTGTGCGACGCCAACTGATGCCTGCTCATCGGCGGTTCCTTCGATAGCTGATCCTGGACGGCGAGTGAACTAGGGTTATCGCCGCCATCGGGTCCAGCTGATAACTCTTTCTGGGTTTCGTTCTAGGTCAGATGAAGGCCAACTTTCATGCGCCGCACTCTCAGAGGCGCAAGGTTTACATAATGAGTTTATGCAGGCTGTGCTAATTCAATCATCTTCTTGCGCGTAGAAGTAAAAATCCTTCTGTGCCAGCAGATTGCGGACGACTATGACGGGTGATACAGAGCGGCAAAAGGCTGAAGGGGGGGCCGATTGCAATTTGGGGTGGTGCTGAAGTCGGTTTTTGCGAGATTCGGAGCGACGTCGGGGCTGACAGGTTAAAGCGTTGCATCATTGGGGATGAGGAGGAGGTTGGCTGGGACGGCGGCGTTGCGGTAAAGAAAACCGCTCAGACGGGCGAGGCGAGGCGTGGGCTGGAAGCTAGGTAAGGCCGCCACGGAAAGGAACATGATCGACTTTGTTGAATATTTTCTTGCTGACAGCACAGAGGAAAGATAGTGGTGGTGCAGCTTGACACCATCCTGCGGAGAGGGTTGCATTCAATCGCCGGGTTCTGGTTCCTGACGTTGGGAGGAAGCGCCGCGGGAGCCTATCAGTGCATCCCGAAAGAGTTGACATCGGATATGCAAGATGCACAACGTCGCCCGCATCCGTTTTTATATCGTGCTCAGCCCGTCATCTGCCGGTCTGCCGCGATATTCGGGGCCGGTTGCCTGCAACAGACCACCAAGAGAGATGCGTGCCAGGTTATTGCGGGCTTGGGTGTAGCATCAGCCCAGCGTGTGTTGCGGATAACATAGAGTGTTTAGTGTTATGTATAAGGGGAAATGAGAGAGATAACAGAGCCAATGGGATGCATGACTCCCGAGCCGTGAGTCGGGGGAGAAGAGAATGTCTTGGACCGTGTGAAGAAGATCGGGTGGTTTCTGGAAGAATGGGTAAGTAGTGAGCTTTCGTGGGTAGTAGAACGGTCCGGCCGAAGTTAAGTTTAGGAGACGCCGCAAGGTCGCATCATCTGTTGTTGAGGAAGGTGCTTGAGGAGTTGCTGCATAGTGAGAGCAACTAAGGTCTGAGGCACCCGGCCTTGCAGTTGTACGGTACACTACCTTGCAAGTACCATGATTAGGTTCGCCGGGAACGCACCTACTGCCCGCGGTGTACTATCCGTCGGCTTCAAGCTTGCTTAGCGGCAAGAGGTAGCTAAGCGCTGAGACGACCGGCCGTGTGTTCGGAGGTGGATGACAGAGTCCGTGAGAGAGTTAGTTTCTGTGCGGCAGTGGTTGGTTCGGTGTAACTCGAATCCAGAAGAAAAGGTCAAGATGCTGCTTTCGTCAACAACGGAGTAACGGCCGTCAGTCAATATTGTGTGAGAAATGAAAAGTCGTCTGTACATTATTAGAATAAGCACGCCACCTAACCCAAAGCGTCTCTCTTGGTGGAGCAAGAGAAGGGGAAACCTGGCGATGGCTTCCACGATGGCGGGAGATGAATGTCTGCGTACGAACAAGAACGAGATCGTATCCGTACTCTTTCCATGTCGGAGTCGGCCGCCGTTGTTGAGTCCGGTTGCGAGTTGAGGCCAGTTTTTCAAGATTGCCTTGGTTGGTTTGCAGAGAATATGCTGCAAGATGAGGGAGGATTGACGTTGGTTGTTGGCCAAGTGCTCGTCAGCGCTGGGGTGAGGCAAGTCAGAGCAAGGAAGGCAGTGGCGGGATTGCGACGCTGGTGCATGACCATGCGCACCTACTCACCAACCTACCACACCTACCTTGCACCATAGGTATATAGTAAGGTAGTTTGGGTAGGTAGAAAGGTCCTGTTGGCCACACCTCGGTCAGCCCAGTGGGACCCGAATGATCAGGGCCTTGGGAGGCGCCTAGGCAGGCAGGCAGGCAGGCAGGCAGGCAGGCAGGCAGGCATGCCGTCAGAGTTCTTGGACGTTTGGATTGAATGAAACAGTGCAAGTGGAATGGGGGGAGGGGCCCCGAGGAATGAGGGCGATCCTCTCTGGGCTGAAGTGGGTGCGACATTGGCCAGCGGATTGGCAGAAATACTGCGCAAGCGCAAACGAGGGCAAAGTGAGTCGTTCTCGAGGGCGGTCATCTCAGTCACCTGCGGTAGCGTAATGTCGCAATTTACCAGGACTCCGTACCCGTGGATTCGACGCGTGTGTTTTAGATGCCCTGGCCTGGGCTGCCGTGCATCTCAGAGTTGCCCTGAATGGAGCAGGTGTTGCGCTACTCGTTGCCCGTTGCATGCTGCGCAATGCGGCTGCTTATCAGTCGGAGCTGACGAGCCAGACCCCAACGATGGAAGGGAGGCGGATGTGGTCTTGTTACTCATCAACTTATCCATACCTTAAGGTAGGTATCTATTTGAGGTCGCACTGTATTCAGACCCTCCCCGGTCGAGTTTTGTGCCAAGCAAGTAAAATGCCCATTGGACCAAAAAGAGAGTGGCTTGAGCGAAGTTCGGGCGCTCGAGTGGGCGCTCGGAGGAAGACTGCCATCTGTCTTGGCGGCGCATGGCGCAGGTGCCACACGGTGCGTTCGCGTAAGTCTTCCGCCGCCTAGCACGGTACGTACCTACCTTAGCTGCCTCCCTCCCCTACTCTCTCAGGAAGCGCGGTTTTATTTTTCTGCCCACGAACCCACGCCCCTCTCAAACTGGATCTTTCCACTGTGCTCGAACACTGAGCTGGCCATTTGTGTGCGTTGTTCCATGAGCAAAGTGGACCGTAAATGCAGCAGCAGATGCAGAGGACAGGATCAGGCAATGAGAGAGAGGTACGCAACGAGAAGGAAAAAGAAGACGTCGTATCAAAAGGGCCCTGGGTAGGGTGTACGCAGCCAAGTGGACACCTCAGATCAACGAAGGGTAAGTGTAGGTAAGGCAGGCAGGCAGGCACTTATCACTTCCACCCTGAGAAAGTCAAAAAAGAAGTTCCAAAACAAAAAAAACCAAAATACCACCATACCCAAGGACCCAAGGGCAAGGACTGGCGTTGGAACTTGGCACTGGCGCTGGCGGTTCGGGAAGCACAGGGCGTCAGTCAGTTCCAGCTCCTCCAACACAACCCGGTGAAGGTCGCTTGCCTTCCGTGGCCTCCCTCTGACCTTCTTGCGGCAAAGCATTCGCCCTCATCTTGCCAACTTGGGAAGCTTGAGCACTGGGCACCCGACGCCACAACGCCGCCGTGTAGCTTCACCTCTCTCGGCTGCGGAAACATGGCCCGGAAGCTTTGGTCTGCCATACTCTGCGCGCCGATGTTTCGTTCCAACTTGCCAGTCCCTGCCAGCAACACCGAGGAGGACGGGGGATGTAGATACAAACGCATGCTATGCCACCTACCTACACCACAACGTCCTGCAAGGTAGATCGGAGGAGGGACGGTTTGATAGCGGACAAGATTCAGACCGGACATGATCGTACTCGTTCAGTCCTGCATCCCAACCTTGCCCGAGCTTGCGTCAGGTCGCTTCCTATCTTCGGCCGCCTATCTACTTAACTCGATGCTATTGCTATCCTTGACGCCGTACATAGACGCCGCCGCTGCGTCTGGCCCTGCATTTGGCTGATGTACAAGCACACACAACAACAACACACAGGCACACATCACCGACTTTAGGCTCCGTGGCTCCCAATTCACAAACAATCAAAACGCCTTCGCTCCACATTTCGTTCCATTTCGCCATTATTGGTGCTGTCGACGTGTCTGTGCCTGTGTTTTTGATTCGGCTGCTGCCCGGGTTGCCGCACCAGACGTACCAGAGTGGCTCTCTGAAGCTCGCTCGTTGCATACGGACCGACCTCTGTTTCTGAGTCTTTTTGGAGAGCAGGTTCTGGAGGGGCGTTGTTCTTTGCGCCGCTCTTCACTCCAATTGAGCCAAAAATCCAGCGAGAGTTGTTGCCTCTTCTCTTCATCCCAGAAATCTCGCCGGTCACCGGGGGTCAAGGTTGCACAACACCGATCGACATCCCGTCTGCTCGTTGATACCACCACCCTCTACTCTGTACCGCACAGCCGTCTGGACATTCCTATCTTCCATCTCTCCTCAACGGCCGACGCACCACCACCAACACCATCGGTCTGGACGTACTGCAACTGGCTTTGGCACGACGGACATTGACTAGACTGATTGGCATCATCTATCCCCCCGATTTGCGCCGCCCATTGTGCCCCTCCCCCTGTTCAGTCCAGGGCAGGGCAGCAGTTTTGGAGTCACCGCTCAGAGGGACAGGTTCATTTTTGAGACATTGTTACCGCTTCGACTGTCCGTCCGTACGTACATGCGCCCAGCACCAAGACGTTTGCTAGCTGGATGCTGGCGACGAATAGACCAGAGAAGCCACAGACCAAGACACGCTGCCTCCGATTCTGGGCGTACAATTTCCGTGCAGGCTTTCCTGCCTCCCTCTGCCCATCCTAACCTAACCTAACCTAATATTACCACTCCCCTTCTCGAACGGGGGAAACAAGAAAAAAAAAACCAATCTAACGAGTCCCTCGCACACTTTCTCACTCCCATACTCTCCAACTTTCTCCGGCGACAATTCTCTCGGGCAGAAAGAAAGAAAGACAGACAGACAGACAGACAGAGAGAGACGAAATTCGCGTTCCCGGCGCCACGATGAACTCCTAGGTCGCCCTACCCATCTGCTACGTATCAGCTCCGCACCGTACAGATTGCACTCTGCAACGAAGCGAACCTACGAACGACAGGCACCAGGCCGCTATCCTAGGTGACAACCTACCGTCTACCGTACCTACCTTGCCGCACAATTCCTCCGACGGCATTTCCTCAGGGTCTGTTGCACCGTGTATCCGCACCGGCCGCACCGCCCCCCGCGACACTCATCTGCGCAGTGTGCCCAGCCCAGCCCGGCCCTGCCCAGTGCGACACACCTGCTTCCGCACTCCCACTCCCACTTTTACTCGCACCTTCGCCCTCTCGCAGTCGTGGCCTCCTTGCAAAACTGTGAACTCGCGACTCCCACGTCGGACTCGCATTAGAGGGACACAGTGCTGTGGGCCCCCACTCCACCGCCTGGGCTACACCACTTTACCACGAGACGCCCTTTTCCCCACAACATCCCCAGACCGAGCTTTCACCACCTCCCCTTTCGTCGCCATCTCCGTCCTTGTCGCCGTCGTCGTCGGCTTCAACTTCCATCCTCGATCATTGCTGCTGGTCAAGGTATGACGACTGCTGGTGCCGCTGTCGGTGCCAGCCCTATACCACACGCCACGGTTATGTCCGCCACCATCGACTTCGAAGAGTTCTTGGAATACGACGAGGAAGGCTTCGGTGCCGCGAACTCGATGCCCAACTTCGACCTCTCCAATCCCAACGCCCTCAAGTTCCTCGAATCATCGCAGTCGCTGCACGAATCCAAGTCTCTCGAGCCCCAGGCCACCCTGCTGGCCAACGGCACCGTCGCCGCTGGATCACCCGACTCCCTCGTCGACTCATTCCGAGACTCGTCCTCCGATTCCGCCTCGTCGAAAAGGACCGGTAGCTCTGCCTCCGGAAAGACGGCCTTAACAGCGGGCGACGTGATGATGACAGATGGAGCCGATATCAAGCCTGACTGGGAGACTGCGGCCTTCGCCGACCGCCCGGAAGACAGCGTCTACCTCTTCGGCGGGAACGCCGACGCGACGCTGCCGGGCCTCGACATGGGCGACGACAGATTCATGGAAGAGTCGTTTGACTTCGAAAGCGCGTCCAGCAGTCCGGACGCTATCAGCGCTGTCAACATGGAATCACCAGAGATGCCCACCATTCACACCAATGGCCCGCAGAAGGCTCCCCCTCCGAGCAATACCAGAGCCGGAAATCACGCCAAGAGGAATTCCGTGAGTCTTACGCTGAACGGTATCGTGAGATCCGACTAATGTTTCCAGCAATACTCCATTTCGCAGCCCATGAACGGACTGAAAATGACCAACTCGAGGGAGTGCTCACCAATGTCTCAGAACTTGATAACGAGCCATGAGGCATCCCCTTCAGCCGCCTTCTTCAACAGCTCACCGTCGCCGCGAGGCGCCGGTCAAGATTTTTCGAATGCCGCCACAATGAACGCTATGAACCCGAACGGATTTTGGCCGACGAAAATGGATCCCGCGCAACAACAAATGTTACACAACATGTCTATACAGTCTCAATTTCACGCACACGATGGTCTACCAGTCATGCCACAACATATGCCGATGTTTACCCAACCCAGCTACGACTTCCTCAACCGTGGGTGTCGGTTGACGATCCACCCAACGCCAACAAAGTCCCGCGTCGAGACTCAAATTCCCATCAAGATGACTCTCTTCCCGCTTCCTCATGGCATCAAGCGCCTCCACCTGCCCACACATACCATCTCTAAGCCAAAGTTACTAGCGAAGCCACCAGTCGAGCGTTCTCAGGACACATTGGAGCTCTACACCATGCTAGTGTGCACTAGTGCCATGGTCAGCGAGGATAACAAGCGCAAGGCCTTCCAGCGCGCCGCAGCCGCCACCCACAGCCCTTCCTTGAACGCCCGATCTGCCAGTGAGGACGATGATGAGGAGAACAAGCCGCAAAACGGAGGCGAAGTTCGCATTTGCAACGGGTGCATCACGCGAGAGAGAAAGCGAGCGGCTAGAAAGAAGATCAAGAAGGTGGAAGAGGAAGAGATGTGGAATCGGGATGAGAACCGGCGCGTGATCGTCTTTAACACCCAGGAGATCAAGGAGTGGCAGACGCCCAACGGTGTCGTATCTGACTCTACCGTAACAGGGCGACCAGAACCGGTAGCTCCTCCTGGAGCGATGCAGGTGGACGCGCCCATGCGTATTGCCTGTTACTGCCGCCACCATGCAGAGAAGCAGGGTTTCCAAGTCATCTTCACCATCAAGGATTGGCAAGACCGCGTTGTCGCCCAAGAAATATCTCAGTCGATCATGATTACCGACGACCACAAGACGCACCCATTGCCGTCATTGCCTCCCGCTGCCTCGACCTCCGAGAACAACCTCGTGCCGATGATGAACACGCCACTGGATACCAGCCCACTCAGCTCGGGGGCTGCTCCGTTCCGTCTGTCGCATTCCAGCTCCGATCTTCAAAGCTTGCAGCGTAACGCACCTCCGGCTCCGGCTCCGTCGTTCCCCGCTGTGAACGCCGTGGCTAAGCAGCCAGCCCCCGCACCCTCGACAACGAATGCTCGCTCTTTGTCTCGGCCCCCGTCCCCGAGTTTACACGCCGGGCCGATGACAAAGAAGCGCAAGGCCAGCGGATCGAGGGTTCCTGCTCATATGACGATGACTCGGTTGGATACGACCCCGCCACCATCTCAGATGCCTGTCAATCCAGTGCCACCGGCAGCCTCTGCTTCCACATCGCCGTTCACGCCTAACCTCACCAACTTCCAGACTCCCCCTGATACTGTGTTCCAAAATGGAGCTCCGTCGAACATCCCACAGCCGTTCGCTACCGGTCCACCGACACCCAACAGTAACGACCAGACCTTGTTCACCAACGCCAACCGATCTGCCAGCATGGAAAATATGGCGATGCCCATGTTCTCAGCCCCTGCATCAGCCCACCAAAGTCGCGCTGCAAGCCCGAGTAGACTGGCAAACGGTGTGAACGCTGTACAACAAGGTCAATTCAATACCATGCAATATCTTCCCACTGCGGTTGCTCCAGCACGGCCTCAGCCAACCATTCACAAAATCATTCCCAACGAAGGACCTAAGTGTGGTGGCATCGAGGTGACCATTCTTGGCGCGAGCTTCTACCAGGGCTTGGAGGTACTTTTCGGAGACCAGAAGGCCACAACCACCACCTTCTGGGGCGAGTCCTCCTTGGTGTGCCTCTTGCCACCGGCGCCCGTCGCTGGGCCAGTCGTGGTTACTTTCAAACAAAGCCAAGCTCAAGCCGGACAGCCCTTCAGTGCCCTCTCTAAGCAGAATCAAGTATTTAAGTATATTGATGACGACGAGGAGAAGCTCATTCGCACCGCGCTCTCGATTCTTGGCCACAAGATGTCTGGTCAGTTGGTTGACGTCAAGGAGCTTGCTCAACGCATCATTGGTCAAGGAGATTCCAGTTGGGGCGGTCCTGGCCCCTCGGGCAACGGTGGGTTTGGCGGAAACACCTTCAACATGAGCACGGAATCCCAGCTGTTGAAGTTGCTTGAGTTGATCGACCTTGACGACAACCCGAGGATGTCTCGCCTGGATCTTAGGAGAAACACAGGCCACACCATGCTGCATATGGGTTGCGCTCTGGGATACCATCGTTTCGTTGCTGGGTTGCTTGCGCGTGGTTCTAATCCGGACCTCCGGGACAAGGGCGGCTTTACTCCCATGCATCTGGCGGCAATGAATGACAACGAATCCATCGTTCGCAAGCTCATGCAGGCCGGCGCTGACCCTACGATCCGTAGTCTTTCGGGACTGCGGCCGGCTGACGTTGCTCAATCACGCAAGGTGGTTGAGCATATCCGTCGCTGCGAGCGTCACATTCGGTCCCGCAGCGGAGGTTCTCTTCACAGCAGAGCCAGTAGTGCCGCTTCGCTGCGGTCTCTGTGGGACCCTCTCGGCATGTCCAGCGAGGAAGAATCTGCAGACGACGGTGAGGAGAGCCTCGAATACTCATCTGGCGACTACGAGGAGGAAGAAGAGGAGGAGGACTCATGGCTCGACATGCGCCGTCGTTCCAGTGGGCATGCGTTCACCCCTCGTCCAGACCGACAAGCACTGCAACGAGGTCACGATGAGGTTGAGCCAGGCCTCGCGTCACCGACCACCGCCATAGCCTCGGCCGTGAGGGATCAATTTGCTGCTCAGATTCAGCAGTTCCAGCAAGCGATGGCACATTTTCCCAACCTGCCTCAAATGCCGGCATTGCCAAGAATGCCCATGTTGCCGGACTACCAGGCGTATCTTCAGCAGAACCCGTTCATGGGTAGAGTTACTTCGCTGATGCCTGGTATGTCAACCTCTAGACCAGGATCGTCAGGCGATGAAAACCCGCGACAAATGGACGGGCGTTGGTGGGATCTGTCAGCCTTCAGAACCACCAACAACAACTCAGCTCCGCCACCGGCATACGACGAGATCTTCCCTCAGGAGGAGCTTGACCGCAAGCAAGCCGCGGCTTTGAATTCTGCTGCTGAGGCTGTTGCGGACAGATCTATCGCTGTCGGAACCCAAATCACTGAGACCGTTGAGATATCGGAGGCTTCATCAAGCACGACGCCAGTGCCGAGTGTGCTCAAGATCGGCCGCAAGAGTGCCATCACCAAAGAGCAGCAACAAAACTTCCTCAGGGCGCGCGAGGCCAAGTTCAAGGGGATGCGTAGCGACAAGAACTTGTGGTTCGTCTGGGTAAGTAAACCAACTCAACATTGTCATCCAACACACGCTAACGTCCTTCAGATCCCGCTCCTCACCTGCATACTGGGTGTGATGCTGTACAGCCGATTCCCTCAGTACTTCGCCATGCTTTGGGCCGTCATCCTTCGTTCGGCTGCAAAGTTTGACCAGGTGCCCGACATGGTCAGAAATGTCCAGGACCGCGTCGTCGAGGTACTATAAATCATTTTGTTACATTGCAACCGCTTCGCTTTTACGAGAGACACAACAGAGTTCCTCCTTTACTCGCGGTTTCGGATCTACGAGATAGGGAGAACAGGAGTTGGTGCGTCTGGGAAACGAGGAGCAATGTTCATTCAGTTCCTCTAATGAGCATTGGAGGGGGGGACTGGTGCGGCCGGGAGTGCCGCACCGTTCGTTCTATGCAGGCGGGAGGTCTCGGATATCGACATCGCACAGCCAACAGCGCTGCTTCTAGGGCAAAAAGCCAGTTTTCTTATCGTTTTCACGGAACCAGTAAGCCTCCTCACTGGGAACATTAGCTTCCATCTTTTCTTGAATTTTCTTCTTTTTTGAGCTCTTCTTCATTCATTGGAGTATCGCGTGGGAAAGCCTCGGTCGACCGTTTTGCTGGGACGGAGAAGTAGATATCCGAGGAGGTCTTGATGACCTCGGGTGGATACGGGCTGTATGTAGTATATACACAGCGAAGTTACTGACGAGCTGCGTTGTCTTCTATAGAGGGCGTAAATGTATGTCGGTATAGGCCGTGGAATAATGTCACACTGGTACATTGAAAGAAATCGTTTCATTACCGTGCTCAAACATGCAGGTTTGCTTTGTAAACGAAATGTAGCCATTGTACACACATCCAGACCGGCTATCCAGAATCCTTCAACGACAGGGAGCTTGGATGTGGACGTTTACTGGCCTTGGGGGAAATGCTCACTCGCGGTAGAAGGGTTGGTTGGATGTGTGTGGTCTTGTGCTGTGAATCGTCCGTCTCGCCCACGATGCTGAACACGCCTCAAAAGCCTGCGAAGCATTTTCTTCTACGCCACTCAACAGGAACCAAACTGTTTCATCCTCTCACTACCAATTCAAAGCCTGAGTGAAACATGAATGTCGTCGACGGGGGTCAAGTTCATATATATTCAGCCAAGTCATCCATCCCACCCCATACCTCATGACTAGACATGCCACGAACAGAAGGTCTCCCACACCTCTCTTCTCTCTCGCGCGTGCCATAGCATCTTCCACCTCCTCACAAACACCAACACGTTTCACAAACGAAGACGGCACACGTACACAAAACTCGAAAAGTGTTTTTTCCATAACCCCATACACACACACCCCCCGACGTATTCCCCGTCCCATTTCGACACATGCCAGGTCATGTACAGCGAGCGCATCGTTACGGAGGGGGATGAGTAAAAAGACATTCGAAACCCCGTCAACCCCCTCCTTCCATACCCTCTCTCTCACTCTACTCCTCTCGGCGTAGGTGGAAACTGGTGTGAAGGAAAGAGGGTGTCGAGACCGCGGAATGTCGCTACATACACGAAGAGAGGAAGAGCCGTTCGTTCCTCCGATAACATAAAAACCTCGAGGAGGAGGGCGGGCCCCAGTTACGGGATGCCTCCTCCTATCCCTCCCCCTTTTTCTTTTTTTTTCCCTTTTCTCACACCACCGATCGTTCCTTTCCGAGTTTCATCCTGCCTCCAATCCGTCTTGTCTCGTTTGGGATACCAACGTCTTCCTCATCATCATTGCGTCCACCGAGGGTTTTCCCGCAAGGTCATGGAAACACACAAGATTGATAAGGAGTATCTTCTCCCGATCCGAGTGACAGCATGGCAAAACAATGCGTCGTACTGCGCGGTCGAATGCTGATTTCATAAAAAAGCAAAAGAAAGAATAGAGAGTGGTCATTTCATGTCGTCAAAGTCGTAAAGCTCGTCGAGATTCAAAGAACGCCAGACGCCACTTCCCACATCCAAATCCGCCACATATGTAATGGGCCCGTCCACCGGTGCAAAAAGGCAGCAAACACTTCGCTTGCCTCTTGACTTAGGTGAACCGCATGCCTCTCCAGCGCCCGGGAAGCTCGCGCTCCTGCACAGGGATGCTGTTGTGGTTCTCCCCCTCAAAGCCGAACCCGCCGTGGCTCTTGTACTGCTCAGGTACGCACGGCACGGAGGGGACGCCGTGGTTCGAGTTGGGTCGGAGGCCGAGAGGCTCTGCCGCTCTGCGGATGCCGCGCGACGTCCACGCCCGCGCGGACTCGACAAAAGACCGCCGCGAGTCATTCGAGTCGATGCTGCTACGGGTGCTGGCGGCGTAGAGCGGGTTCGGGGGTGCAAAGTCCGTGTCCATGGGGCCAGAGTACGAGGCCGACGGGGCATGTTTGGCGAGCTTGTTGCTTGCGCGGGCCGAGTTGCTGAATGATCGTCTGACGAAGACTCCACTGCGAGGGGGCGGCGGGGGCATGTAATTCGGCGGGGGAGGAGGGGCTGCGTAGTTGGGCGGCGGGGGAGGGGCCATCGATTCAGAGTGCGAATGCATGTGAGAGCGCGGTTTTCGTAGACCGGGGAGGGAGAGGTCAACAGAGATGCGTGAGGCAGACTTGCGCAGCTTCTTGACGGCAGACATTTCCTCCTCGTCTTCAAACCCGAAACCGCGCTTGCGGTTGCCGTCGCGAGAGTCTGGCAGGGGTTCCACCTCATCCTGCGTTGGAGGCAGGGGCCACTGTCCCGACATGCGCTCCGCAAACGACTTCTTGTCAACAGGGGGTTTGGTTGAGTAATTGGTGCTTGACGGAGCGATGTTTGGTGGAGGAGGCTGGCGCGTGGAGCGGATGGCGTGCGCGTCGAAGAAACCGTCCTTCATCAGCTGCTGGTAGCTGGCCATGATCTCCTCCCTAGAAGGCATGCCCGCACCGTTGGCTAGGGTCGGCGCCGGGACAGCGTTCGCACTGCCGAACCCTCCAGCTCCGCCTCCGGTGGCAAGAAGCTTGCCGTCCAGGCTGAGCGGGCGCTTAGCCCCCCTATCCTTATCCCTGACAAAGCTCAGCTTCTCGCGGAGACCGCCCCAGAACCCCTTCTTTGCGACGTGGCTGCTAGCCGAACTGGCGGGCCTCTTAACCTCGCCATACGTGACCGTCGGCTGGTTCACGGAGGGGTGTTGTTGTTGCTGGTGGTGGTTTTGCGACGACAACAGCGACTGGGAAGACTTGTGGTGTTGAGGCTTGGGCGGGGACAGGACGCCGGCGTCGGGGGCCTCGACGTAGAAATCCATGCGGAAGCGACGGGCAATCTCGGTCGAGTCTTCAGGGCCGAGGAAGTTGGGAGGTGGTGCGGCGGAGGTACGGTCGTTCATGGAGCCCTCGACGAAGCGGGAGTTTGCACGCTGCGTAGAGTTTGCGCGCTTAGCCGTAGGTCGCTGCGCAGATGCAAACGCATTCGTCGGGGGAGGGGCCATGACTGGGTGAGAGTTCAGAGGACCGGGGGGTTGAGGATCGTCGATTTGCATCATGGTTGATAGCGGACGCGATTCGGTTGTGCTCGGGTTGTGAGTTGATCTGGTTCTCTTACTCGAGGTGGAAACAGAGCCCCCTCTGCCCTAGCTAACAAGATTGATCGTGGTCTCGCGATGAGAAGGGGGGTTGAAATGCGATTAAATGGTAGGTATCGAGAGGAGGGGGATTGTTGGTGGCAGCAAGGCAGCGAGCGCCGTTGGGTTTTTGTTTACTTGCCCGTGCCGTCGCACCATCCGCACCCACGCGCTCCCGCAACAGCTGCTTTTCAACTTCGGGCTTCTTCCTTGCACGTCTGGGACAGCAGCAGGTTGCGAAGTCGCAGAAAAAGGGATTGGAAAACCTGGAATCGGGTGAAGAAGGTTTATGAAGGGTGAGGGGAAAAGTGGGAAAAGCCAGGTTGATAGTGAGTGGAAGGTAGGTGCGAGAGGGCGATGCGATGGGCTTGGGGTTGAATGTTGATCTTGTAGTATCGGCACTATTGGAAGGGCAACGCGCGATGGAGTTTGCGGTCGGCCGGGGATCGTTGCCGACAGCGAGGTACGCCGGACGCGAGGCCCAAAAGGTAGCGTCTGCCATTGGATTTGGAGGGGAGAGTGGCCCCCGTTGCTCGGGCAAACAAACGCGCCCACCACTGGCTGCGCTGCTAGACCCAAACGCGACCCTCCCGGGGTCCACTTGGCTTGCACCCGCAACTGGTGCCGCCCTCTTCCGCGTCCCTCACCTTGCACTTGTATACTGGGGTCTGGTCCGAGCTTGCACCGCTGAAGCACGTGACGCTTGGACCTTTGACAGACAACCACACAACCTATGGATACCTTATCTAGGTACCTACCTTACCTTAAGGTGAGGTGCCTTGGGTAGGGAGCGGATAGGTAGATTGAATGAAAATCTACTTACGTCTGGTGCTGTCATGTCCAAGTCAGCCTCGTCAAGCTTAACGTCCTTCCAGCGGCACCGCACGATCCGGAGACCGAGCGTCCTCACCCACTGCAGAAGCACTGAACCACAGGCAGATGGGAAACAAAATCCTCCCCACACTTCGTATCTCACTGGCACTAGGTTCACATTGGAGATCGAGAGCATCAAGTTTCAAAAGATATTCCCTATTTCCCTATGCAGGATACCCAACTGTGACTGCTGCAGCATGTACATGCCGCGTGACCAAAAAATGATACAGTACCCCAAAAACCTTTGACAGAGGAAATCAGGCCAGCAGATGATACATTACAACCACATCAAGTGTGTCCGCGTCTTCATTGCCCTGAGTCGTTTCTTTTTGTAATCCAATTTGAATCATGCCGCAAACCATTCCCTATCAACCAAACGATTGTAAAAACACAAAAAGGAAATGAGGAAGGGGAGGTGATGCCAAGAGAACATCGCCAACGTGATGAGGGTTTCCGTGTATGGATTTGGACACACAAATGAAAGGCGTGTCGAAAACGCCACGTTGAAGTCCGTGATATTTACAGTCGAAGAGTGAGAAAAAATTGAAAAATCCTTCCGAATGCCATGGGGTGCCGGAAAACGCCTCGAGTCCAAGTGCTCGCCCGCCCTTGGTGCCGATCATGCTGTATAAGCCAAAGTCCCGGTCCGCATTAGTCGTAGTCAAAACACCGTTATTTGTATGCATCCGCCCTCATCTATTGCTCACTGTAGCTGCCATTCGGCTTGGTCACGGTTG